AGTAATTTATTATCTTTGTAACAAAGATAAAGGATGTAACTGTTGACTGAACTTATATTTTTATAAGTGTATAAAATACGGCTAAGGGACAATGCCTTGTGCAGCGGTTTGCACTATAATTGGCACACTTCATGTGTAAAACATCAACTCCCGATTTTTTACTGTTATAGTATCTAATTATTTCTGGTTTTCCTAATTACATAGAGGAACTTCTGGCTTATTTTTTTTACTGTACTCATATAGGTGAGGTGCCGTTTTTGTAACTCTGTGACTAACTCTATTAAAGAAAAATAGTTGTCAGCAGTAATATTTCGGTTAGAGCCCTCTATTGGTTTGGATAGTCGAATCACACATTGAGCAGGCTTGGAAAGCTTCAGTTCTTCTTGTGAAAGTCCAACACCATCCGAATCTTTCCTTGAGTCTGTATATCCATTATAGAAATACGAGCTCTTAGCATCTGTCGTGCACATTACTTTTATGCCGTATTTCGCAGGTTTACTGGGCATGTAAAATCGAAAACCACGGTGACCTTTAAATGGAAGTAGCATCTCGTCCACAGTTACACAATGTGACAACGTGTATAGCCTCTGACAATTAGTCACAAAATTATTAAAAATATTTGAAATAGCCGCTGTTTTATCAGTTTTCTTTAGCTCTTCGCGATCTATGCTATTGTTAAATCTAAGACACGACAAAAGTATTTTAAATCCTTTCAAAGACATCGTCATTCTGAATATTGGCCGTCCCAAAACATCTTTAGAAAGCAGTTGAAGCATATCTTCATGAGAAGATTTTATAATCGAAGATAGCATAAAAAGCCTTTGCTTGGCCTTCAACTCAACTACATTTGTGCTTCTGTAGTTTGATGTATTAGTCTAATCAGATAACTTTTCTCTCATTATAATAATTTTTTGGTTTGTCCATGTTACAATTTGTTCCAACATTTCATCAGTAATCAACACCAAATATCTAATTTAGAGGGGCTAATTCCCAGAGTCCTGCTTGCCGCTGTTAGGCTTCGTAATTCTCTGACAATGTTATATGTTTGTGTCCTTGTATTTCTCGGAGGCTCCGTTTCCTGCCACTGAAAACCATTTTTTCCTTTGAATAAGTTCACATCCCCTTGTACTTGTAAAAAGTCGGTTCTGGATTGTAAATCATTCGACGGTTCGTCTAATTCCAAAAGTTCGTGATCTGAGTTCAATTCTTTACTGCTAGAGGGTTCACTTTGCCAAATTAGATAGTCGGGATCTTCATCCGAATCATCTATAACATCTCTCATGTCCTCGTCACTCCCTTGCTCTGATTAATATTAATTTTGATTGTCGGCAAGTAGTAATCTTTGTATATTCTTTTCAAAATTTGGGTCAGCCAGATTTACTTTTTTATTACGGTCAGTTCCGGTAGGTCCTGATCTATCCATTATTACTACAAAATTAAAATTTTTTAGAGTAATTATGTTTATTATACAAAAAATATGAAATACCTTATTGTTTATCAGTACACAATCCGTAACAAGTGGCCTCCTAGACCTATCATAAAAACACTGCAATTCAAAACACCTGGCTTACTAGACCTACACGTTTTGAAAACTACTGTTACTATGACGTAAACACTAAAGCGATCGCTACGATACTGCAGAACTATGCTTGTTCTACACTATAAAGAAGGTATTCAAAAGGACAGTGCATGCAGCCTACACTTTTGCCGCCATTAGCAGACTATCCTTTCGCTGTGGTCCGTTAGACCAATGTTTCAGGTTAAGGTTAAAAACACCAAATAAAATATTAAAAGGACACCATTGGCAAAAAGGTCAAATGGAAGACCCAAACGATGTGTAGAACAGAGCAAAGAACAGATCAGAATGAAGGAAAAACATGGAAGAAAACAATAAAGAGTCGGCCAGCTATAATGGACAACCCTTCTTATGATGATATGTTTGGTCATAATAACCACAAATCACCTACCTTAGTGGTCTGTAATAATGACAGGCATTAGATAGTGTCTATTTTCCATAAAATAATAAAATTAACAAGATGCCATTACAAGCAACAAAAATAATCAAGTGAAATTGACGAAAAAAGCTCATTTTATCGCGTTTTTTAACAGGTTGGATATGAGTTACAATAACATAAAATATAAGATAAAAGGTTAAGTCGAGTAGTTTAAAAATTCCCAATATTTTATATTGCGAAAGGCAGTTTAAAATTTCCATAAACAAATTGATACACCGATTTTTAAAAACGCCTAAACTTTAACGATCGTAACAAATTGTTTTTTTATTACCCATAAGATAAAAGGTTAAGTCGAGTGATTTAAATATGATCAATTTTATTTTGATTTTGTATTGCGAAAGACAGTTTAAAATATCCATAAACAAATTGAATCAGTGAAATGCAAAAGATAAAATTCCAAAAACTTTACTTTTGGAGAATTAAAATAAACGTTTTATCTCTTTAACTATTTTTAACAGCATAAAACTCTTCATTACTTCTGTGTGTTATAGCAGAAGTTGATAAGTCCAAAAAATCGTGTTTTTGGTTTTCAATTGATTGTACTCCTAAAAGGATGTTTAACAAGGTGGTGTAAGTAGATATGTGCCTAAGTGAAAAATAAGGTAACCTATGCAGTGGTATAAGTTGATATGTCAAAGTTAATAAAAGTTTAAGTAGCCAGAACATGATATATTACATATCAATTATTACCCACACATAAAAAAATGTCTAACTAGTAGTACGGTAGAAGCTCTTCGCTTTTGACAGTAACATTGAACGATCGATCATTCAAAATCGATATTGAATGATCATCAGAAAATGTCCTAATGGGTTTACACCAGCAGACAGTCGTGGACATCACGAGCCTGCAAATAAATTGAAAGATGATCGAGAAATAATGCATAAAGCTTTAAAATCTAAATCGAAAATTACCTGAATGTCATTCATATGTCATTAGTCATAAGTTTTCCTCAAAACTTTGAGTTTCTTAAGAATGTGCTTAAAACCTCGAAATCAACCAGTTGATATTTTATACTTTATTAAAACGACTATAATCTCTAATTCAAAACTCCCATAACTCTCCACTTCAAATGCTCATAAATTATTCTGTAGCCTCGAATTTAATACTTCTCGACAAGAGATGCAAATCAATTAATCCGGTTTTTTATGAACTTCCAAAACGATCAAACATACGATACGAGACAAAACCAACCATTCAAATTTAAATATAATAAAAATATTTTTTCAACAAATGACTTCAAACCCGGCTAGATAAGCCAATGTAGCGAAATAAATAAACAATAAACTATTACGAAAATTAATATAATCAGTCGATAGCCCTGGCGAGATGAATGAACTCGTAGGTGCCAATTAACATCAAAATTTAAACGGTTGCAATAAACAATCAAGACAATGTATTGGCGACGTGCAAGTACTTGGATGTGATACGAGAAACGATCGTGCGCGAGTAGCGGAGAAATCTTGCATTTTTTACTGCACATTTCATAGATTTCATAAATTCATATTGTCAATTGTCATATTTCATATTCGTTTGTTTATTTACACCTTCTGTCACTGAAGAAAATGGGATTTAGGAAATGCTGTGTTATAAATTGTAAAAATACAACAAAAAATTGTCAATTTAAGTTTTATTCGTTTCCAACTTCGAAGCACAAATTACTACAAAGAGTAAGTGTTAAGTGAAGAGTTAAGTGTAAATTTTAGTTTCATAACACTCACTTAGAGTTCATTTTAACCCAAAAATCAAGTTTTGTTTAAATTTTATTTTTTTGAAGTTTACAAAAATGCATCAAGTTTTTCTGAAGATGCATTAAGATATATTCGCTGTCCAAAAGTTTACAGGGAAAGAATTAATTGTTTAAACCAATATGATGATATCGTGAGCTTAACCTGCTAATTTATGCATTTATGCATTAGCAATATTTATGGTAATTTATTTTTCTTAATTCTTCCACATAATTCTTTCATTCTTTTTTGACATTTGCCACTACTAAAGCTTTTCTCTTTGACTCAGTGATTGGTTGAAAAGTTATTTGGTGATTTACTTTCTCAAATCCAGTTTTTATTATTGCATCCATATTAACAGTAATGCTGTAATTTAATAATATATTTATTTGTATAACCTTAATCTTATTTTTTCTTCTTATTATTTTTTGGGGCTACGTCCTTGACAGTTATCCGGTAACCTCGATCTAACATGAAAGCGCAGTAAATTTTGCTGATTTACGACACCAGGTGTCGCTGTTCAGAACTTGCACGGTCCCAAACTAGGTATAGGTTACCGGTAATTGAATTCGATTACCATGGTTTACACTATTTTATGAAAGAACGAACAAAACGACTTTAATACATGTGAATTGGTTCACTGTCGGATTGCGTCTATCCCTCTTAACGACTCACGTTCTTGTGGTTAGCGAGATGCACTCCCCTCGTGGTACTATAGGAACCGTAGGGATACAGTGAGGACAAATGTATCGATTAATTTACACAACCATTTTGAATTTAAACTCGTATATAGAATAATTTTTTGCAACGCCGTACATTTTGGCTGGGACAGGGAAATATAAGATGCAACCCGTAATTTGAACCCCCATGCTTTGAGCACCGATAAGAATTGGCGGCATAGTTTCCAAAGTTGTTATTACATGTTATAGTATTGATTTGTATGTGATTCATTCTGGATCAAATGACCAATTAAAAATGTCTCATAAGCTTGTATTCTATTATTATAGGTCCATACTACTCAAAAAAACTGTCTTTTGTCTAGTGCCCTTCGTTCAGTGTCACAAATAGGATCATTTTTTGCTTATTTCCCTGGCCTATATACCTAAATGTGTGTAAATGAAAAAATAATGACATTAATAAAATAAGATTATTGCATTAGGTATTATTTCCCTGGACAAATAGAGTTAACACTGCTAATTCGGTCTTTTGCAACAAATAAAATATAAAATTAGAAGTAAATTAAAGTGTAATGTTGCTTACCTTTGATGATTCATATATTCCTTTAAAGTAAATGCAAAAATAAATAGGATATAATTTGCAACAAGTATGTTATAAATAGACTTTATCGTTCTATTTTGTTCAAATAATTGCAATATATACGATTCCCTAATTGAAAATTGTTTACTTGGTAAAGAGAATCTGAAAATAAATAAAAAATACTTCTTAAAATATATGTATAGAAAAGAATAAAAATAAATATGCTTTATCGTCACTAAAAATTGTACAACAATTGTACAAATAAAGATAATAAAATAAACAATACATTGTAAAATTTACATAAATTGCAAATTGTATAATAAAACCTTACGAACTAATAAGTTGAAATTGATGCATACCACTACCACGGCACTACTATAGGCTGTCAAGGGGTTCCAAAAATATATACAGTGCTTTTCAGATAAAACTATCCACCTTAAATAACTTTTAAACCTCTAATTTTTTGGAAAAACACAAAAACACGTCAATTAATATCTGAAGGGGGAGACATAATATAATATCATATTAAAGGTTGCTGGAAAATGCACCTTCTCACCCCCTGTATCAACCCTTTATTTTTTTTAATTACTTTTCCCCTTTTTTTGTTTTATATTTGGATTCTCCTTTTTGTTCTGATTTCAAATATGTATAATACCTTCGACTTGAAGTGATTAGTTTATCAGATAGACAATTTTCCTGTTAAATCTCCCTCACCTTAATTGACTCTAACAAAATAGGTTGTAGCATAATTTAAACTCTTTAAATATTTAACCGTACTATTTGTAGTACCTGTAAAAACCAAGAAACAAAAAAATTCACTTTTTATTCAAGTTTTATCAAAGGTTTTCGATATCATTTTTACATTTGTTTTAATCGGTTAGTAGCGACAATTTGTTATAACTTGTAAGTAACAGCTTATTTTGATACGTGTGCAATTTGATCACTGAAATGGTGTACACTTTGCAAGAAAGAATCGAAATTGTAGGTTTATACTACAAAAATAATAATTGTGGAAGAGCTGCTGCTAGAACTTTTAATGAAACACACCACAATAGACATGCAACTCATAAGTGTGTGATTGAACTGATGCAGAAAAAATTAGATCAAGAGAGTCAGTTTGCAATAAAAAACATAACCGACAGGAACTTGTAAATAAAAAAGCTATCCAAGGAGCTGTTTTAGGGCAAGTTAACTTAGACTCTTAACAATCACAGTCACTGTCAACAATAAGCAGAGCAATCGGTGTTTCATCTTCTACAGCTTTCCGACTCCTCCATAAATTTAAGTTTTATCCATATAAAATTAAATTAGTACAAGAGTTAAATAAAGAAGATTTTGATCGTCGTCCCGAATGTTGCGAATTAATGATAAAATGCATCATTAACAATCCACAATCAATATTTGCTTCTCGGATGAATGCTCATTCTCATTAAACAGTGTGGTGAACAAATATAATTGCCGATACTGGGCTGAGAGTGATCCACATATTGTACGCGAATTTCACATACAGCATGCTCAAAGGTTAAACGTATGGTGTGGTATCCTACGTAATCACATTATCGGACCCTTCTTTATCACTGCAAACTTAAATGGTGCATCGTATCTTGAATTATATAGGCAAGTGGTTGATTGTTAGAACAATAGTAGCAAATGATGATAACCTTTCCGATGATTTGGTTGTATTTCAACATGATGGAGCTTCTCCACACTTTGCTTTACCTGTGCGATAATTTTTAAACGAAACGTTTCCCGATCCTTGGATATGTAAAAGACGACAGATGATCGATTGGACACCTAGGTCACCGGATTGAACACCCCTAGGCTTCTTCTTATGGGAGTATTTAAAAACAAAAATTATGCTACTCAACCAGAATGTCTAGATGATTTACAACAAAGAATAGAGGATGAATGTCGACAATTAAATGCAGACGTGTTAAGCAATGTCAGAGAAGAATTTCAAAATAGATTGTACTATTGTATGGAAGTAAAAGGCAGTCATTTTGAACAATTAATGTAAAAGTTTTTAGTAGTGAAATGTTTGTTCTAATGTGTGTAATAAAATTGTTAAAAAATAATTTTTTTTCAATCCAATTATCTTGCTTTTGTATTTACTTTTCTCATAAACTAATCACTTCAAGTATCATGTATTATACATTTCTGAAATCAGTACAAAAAGGAGAATCCAAATATCAAATAAAAAAAGGGGGAAGTAATTTAAAAAAAATTAAGGGTTGATACAAGGGGTGAGAGGGTGCATTTTCCAGCAACCTTAAATATAATATTATACCTCCCCCCTCAGATTTTAATTAAAGTGTTTTTGCGTTTTTCCAAAAAATTAGAGGTTCAAAAGTTATTTAAGGTGGATAGTTTTATCTGAAAAGCACTGTATGTAGTACCTACCAAGTCACTAGACTTGTACAAGCTGGTACAGAAGTATAACAGACGGCTTTTAAAAAAGTTTAAAAAAACAGTTTTAAGTATTTAGAATGTGTATTACAGGATAACGTGGAAATAGATACAGTTAGAGTAAAATGGCTGAAATGTAAGGATGTGATTGGTACGTTTTGTGCCAGAAACGATTCCATAAAATTGAGGTAAAAATTCTAAAAAAGTGTCATAAAAATGGATATATTACAAGAAATCTATGATGCTTAGAGCATGCACAATATCGAAATAATCATTATCCAATGTGAAGAATAGCTAAGCTGCTAATAGCTAAGTTATTAAAAGAAGTAGGCGAGGAAAATCAAACAAAACCTTATGGGAGACGTTTAGATAGGATACATCTATTAAAGGGTTTAGGGGGATAGATATTGGTAGGATTCAAGACAAAAATTTATAAAAAAATGTAATTATGGAAGTCGTCCACGCATAATGAATGAAATCAAATATTACATCAGAACTTTTTTTGTTCATTTATTTACAGCATACTTAGAGATTACCACTTAATTAGATTTATGCATTTGCTGGTACATAACATGCGTTTTTTTGTTATAGTATTTTTCATATAAGAATGCGTGCACGTCACAATTTATATAAAGTGACGTCACTTATATTTAAAATTTCCAGAACGTCAACATAACTGAGAGCGCCCACCAAAGTGGCGTGGCACGTAACAAGTGGCAAGTAGCACGCGTCTAGCATGTTTCTTAAAATGTAACCAATGAAAACGAATGATTCAGCGCACACCAAAATCACAGTGACGTCATTCATTCTAATCATTCGTTTTCATTGGTTACATTTTAAGAAACATGCTAGACGCGTGCTACTTGCTACGTGCCACGTGCCACGCCACTTTGGTGGGCGCTCTCACTTAGAGTTCAAATTTTCTCACAGCTAATAATACGAAACCCATACGGAACTGCTAGATCTTTCATAGGCGTCAACATGGTATAATAATCAGAAAAATGTAATCATCATTATATTGGGAATTTTAGAATTATATTGATTAAGTAATCAAAAACATTTGTTATTGATATAAATTATATGAAATAACTCTTTAAAGTCTAATATTCCACATAATATTAATTTTAATTAGGATCTATTAGACAATTGTACCCAACTAATACGGGAATACTTTAAAGTTTTTGACAGTTTAGCGTGTGGCAAAATTATTTAAACTATTTCCGCTTTTTTAGAATAAGAATTTTGTTTTTGTTTTGACTTACTACAGAATTGGATCATAATATATTATATATCAATAAATTGTATTTATAAATACATTAAATTTAGATTAATAGCGTTAAAAAATAATTATTTTTGTGTATGGTGATTGTGATATGCTAAAATAACTAAATAGTCTGGAGAAAGCTGATAAGCTTTTATATAAGATAGATTATTTTGAACAAGAAATAATGGCGGGACGTTTTTACTATTAATGCTGTAATAGAGGTAAGATTAAAATTTAGAATATCTAATTTTGTAATAAAATGTTTTCTTATGTATTTTAGTATGTTGCAGTAATCTTAGTATTAAGTGTAGTTACTGTTAATATAATCATTTGACAAATAATTGACATTTTAAAACTTACATCACTTACTAACTATTCTGATTGTAAATTCGGGGTTCTGACGTCGTAAATCTTGAATGTCTTGCACGCATTTTTATATGAAAAAATACTAGATAATTAAAGGGAAAATGGGTAGATGGAGAAACCAAAAGATCGGCCTCCCACAGGGAAGCGTATTAGCATCATAGGTCTTTAATATATAAATGACCAACAACGCCGACCGATACCGAGCACGTTGTTTACGCAGAAAATGTTTAGTAGTAGAAAGGAACCATAAAAATAACCTTTACAACTGATAACTGATACAAAGCTATGCGTTTTTCAACTACGCTCACTAGAAGCAAAGACTACAAATTACATGGACTGGCCATGTTAAAATGAAATAGGCCTTAATTAGAATGAAATTACAAGTTAAAAATTGGAACCTGGAATGAAAAACCAATTTTTATGCCAGGAAAATCTCATAACATCGTGAGAGAAATGAAAAGAATGGAAGTCAACATTCTCGTTGTCATTGAAGTTACGATGGTCTGTAGTGTTGCCCAAAATCGGTCTTGGTCTTGCAGTCTTGGTCTTGTTCTTGCATTTTTGCAAGACCGAGACCAAGACCAAGACTGCCTAATTTTTGCAAGACCAAGACCAAGACTAACCGTGCAAGACTTGAGCAAGAACAAGACTAAGCCTGCGAAACTCTTGCGTCTTGCAATCTCAGAGGTCATAATTACAATCTAAAAATAAAATATTTTGTACATTCTTTTCTAGCACACTACTTCTTCGCTCTGAAATTAATTGTCCAGATTTTGAGAATAGCCCCTTCTAATTATAAAATAATATCTTTGCTTTGCAACGCCGACAGTAATATCGTATTAAAACTTTTTAAAAATGTGTCACCTTAGCTGATAAAAAATATAATTAGGTTAACATATTTTTTTCCTTGTAATTTAGTTACAAGGAATTTAAATACCACAAATCTTATCGGGCTAACACTAAACATCTTTTTTGCTGAGTATGCGATATCATTCAAAATTTGCTATAAGAATGCAGCTACTATTCAAAAGTAACGAGATAAACCAACAAAGAGATAATGCCGATTACAGTGTAAACAAAAGTAACGATAATAATTCTCGGTTTTTTATTCGGTACTTAGGGTATTTGATAGTAACGGGTATAAAGTAACGAGTAGTTACTTTTTCGACATCACTACTTCATTCTCAATCAAGCTTTCCTTCGAGTATAATGCAATAATTGTTTTTTATCTAATCCTTGTTGTTCTCGGTGATCAACCGGTAATCAGGTTGTGTCGGACCTTATAAACACCTTATTGTAATCAATAAAAACATAGAGTGGTGGGTTTACATCCATACATCTTTGCATAAGGACGTTAAATCCAAATAATGCCTCTGGTGTACCCATGGCATTCCTAAATCCAAATTGGGTTTCAGTGATGTCTTGTTTTACTTTTCTGAAAATTCTTAAATGGATAATTTTTAAGAATAATTTTAGTGTGTGACACATTATAATTATACGGTGGTCATTACATTCCCTTGCATTAGGTTTTTTTGGTAATGTAATAAATGTTAATTTGAGCCAATCTCTCGGAATAATACCCGTATTATATATAGTATTATATAAGTCTACTAACATATTGATCTGATTTTCTTATATTAATTTAATTATTTCAGTTGGAATTGTGTCAGACCCCGCAGTTTTATTAGATTTTGCCAGATTTATTGCATGTATTATTTCAACCTTAGTTATATTTGGACACTATCAATGATTCTTCACTTGAATGTTCACTATGAATGATTATTGTTTTGCTTAACTCTTCGTTAATTTTCAACGTTAATTCTGCTTTTATATTCGGGTGTTTTTCGCAGAGTGCTTATTTATTGTGTCTTTTTTGATTTTCTATTTTCTTTAAGTGGATTTCGAATTTTACGATTACTGGATTGTGGTCTAATGACACATCTATTCCTGGATATGTCTTTGCCGATTTGATGGAGTTACGGTATCTCTTATTGATAAGGATATAATCTATCTGGTTTCTAATAATTTTTTCTTTGCTATCCGCATGCGATTTCCATGTATATAATCTACGTGGTGGCAACTAAAAGAATGTATTTGTCGCTATGATTTCAAACTCCTGACAGAATTCCGTCAGTGTTTCCCCTCGTTCCTTATTCCTAGTCCGAATTCACCAATAATGTCTTGGAATTTACCTTTTCCTAATTTGGCATTAAAATTTCCCATTGTTATTGTTATATCTCTATTATCGGTGCTGTCTAGTGCTTTTTTAATGTCATTATGGAACTCTTCTATTTCATTTTCATATTTATATGCAGTGGGGGCGTACACCTGTTTGATATTAAGAGTTCTATGTGCTGTTTGGGCTGTGATTATCGAACACTCTATGTATAGGAACAAAACGAGTTACAGCCTGGCAAAACTGCGATCAACCACTATCGCGATGCCATTATGGTGGTGAATATCTTTATTTCCTGAGTAGGATATTTTTGCACCGTCGACTTCGATTTTGCCAGATCTAGGCCATCTGGTCTCGTTAGTCCCATTATATTAACTTTAAGTCGCCTCATCTCATGTATTACATTGTAGATCTTCCCTGCTTCAAACACAGACCAAACACATACATACAAGTCTTTAACCGATTAATACCACTGCCTTCAAACAAGACACAAAAATGAACCACCAGAAACAATCTACATAAACTAACAGGTGGCAAATTATGTAAATTCCCTGGTATTTGCGGAAGATTTGGACCCTTGCGGGATAGTGACGAGGTGCATGAAACCCACACTCTTTACAAATCTCTACAAAGCAGCAGGTTTTGTATATCCCACAACTCGCACAAGAGCAGCATTCAAAAGCCCTTTATAAAGCTTAAACACCACATAAACGACTAAAATTTTGGAAAAATTTTCTGGAACAGTACAGGCTGAAATAATTTCTCCCCTTTCCGAGGCTAAATAGAGCAGTCAACAAATAATTTGTCCGGACATAATGAACTAATTTGTTAATTTATCATATTATAATAATTATTGTAACTACAAATTTACTTTTGCGATATTCTATTACTAAATATCGCAAATATATGAAGACCTATGGCTAAAAATACAATTAATATAACACTTATATTGTTAGAAAATTTGTATGAACTGGGGTGGCATCTTATTCAATTATGCTTCTTGCCTACTAAATTAGCTTACTATTCACCTCCATTCTCTACATTGTTTTTTATCCTGAACCATCCTCTTTTTCACTTTCTGCAATCTTTATGTACGACCTTCTTTGTTTGGGTCGTCCTTCTTTTTGTGATTAGGACCCCTTTTAGAATGATCTTTGCTATCCTCTTTCATATATAGCTCTGACATTTTCGTTTCCAATGATCTGACATCTTTCCAATTTGTTCGTATTTACTTTTTTTATTGTCCATACTTCAATACCATACGTCACTGTAGGCCATATTACTATTTTATTTATCCTTAATTTTTTTTCAAAACATATGTTCTTGGCTCTTGTCCATAATAACCCCTAGGTAAGTAAAATGGACTATTCTTTCGAAATTATCTTCCCTTGATTCATTAGATATGAAAGTAAACTGCTCCACTTCTTTTTGCTTTGTATTTCCGAGTATCATGTTTGTACTTTGATTTTTCTTGGTTGATTTCTAGGTAAAAATAGTTTGCTTTCTTTTCTATTTTTTTTTGTTTTCTTTAAAATAGTAAGATCATCAGCGAATGCCAGACATTAAGGTTGAAGATGGATCCGGTGATTTTAGCTCGGCTATTTCTGATTATTCTTTCATCCAAAATTTCATTCAAACAGCATAACAGGATTAATATAAATAGCAGTGAAAAATATACAAACTATTATATATATAATTTATATTAGAACATTATCGATTTTCATTGATATTGAGAAAAATAAAACTATTTAATCGAATCCAGAATGAATTATAAAATATTAAAAGACTACACAAGTAAAACGTAAAAAGGGTTTTCTTACTTATCTTTCTTATTTTCCTCTTCAAGATTACTGACATTTTCCTCCTGTTTACCATTCTGATTTATATATTTTTTGGTATTGTTGTTTTTAGATATTCTTGATTTTACACTGAAAAATAAATCTTTATATTAATTAGTTTAATACTTTAAAATAATGTTTTCATACAATTATTCTTTTTGGATAAACTTGGAATGGAACTTGTATTTTATGTTCTTTTAAAATTGGAATGTGCGCGTATTAGAATTTACCAATTATGCACCGTTGTATTTACAGTCAGATATATTATGATCTTATAGACAGGGCGACACCATCTCCCCCCAACTATTCACTGCAGCTCTGGAATATGAATTTAAAAAACTAGATTGGGCTAAAAGGGGAATAAATATTGATGGTGAATACTTAAGCCACTTGCGCTTTGCAGATGATATTGTCATTATGGCCGAGAGTTTAAATGAAGCTTACAAAATGATGGAAGAACTAAAACAGGCAATAGAACAAATAGGCCTGAACATAAAACTTTGAAAAAACAAAATACACGACCAATTTAGTTTCAAGTGATGTTATGAGGGTAGATGGGAATGAAGTACATCAGGTCTTTAGCTATATCTATTTAGGGCATGAAATTAGAATAGGAAAAGACAATCAAACTTGTGAGATCCAGCGTCGCATAGGCTTGGGATGGGCAGCATTTGGCAAGATGCGAGATGTTCTAAAAGGAACGCTACCGATATGCTTGAAGAAAAAGGTTTACAACCAATGCATACTGCCAGTAATAACATAGGGTTCCGAAACCATAACTTTAACCAAACATTCTGCAAATAAATTGAGAGTAACCCTAAGAAAAAAGGAAAGAGCAATGTTGGGAATAACTAGAAGAGATATGATACCAAATAGGATAGTGAGAGAGAGTACTAAAGTGACAGATGTCATAGAAAAAATTGCACAAGCCAAATGGAGATGGGCTGGACATATAGCACGTTTAAATATGATGGACCAAAAGACTCATAGAATGGAGACCTAGAGAAGACAAAAGACACCGAGGCAGACCACCAAAAAGATGGATGGACGACTTGAGAAAAACAGTCGGAAATTGGATACAGAATGCGCAAGATAGAGAACAGTGGAAGAACATGGAGGAGACCTATATCCAACAGTGGATGCAAGAGGTTAAGGAATGATGATGATGATGATATTATGATCTTGTTATTTACTATATTACATATTATAAATTCTACCTGGCGTGAGATTAATGCTTTACTCGCAATATTTTTCTGGAATTTCGCTAGAATTTTCGTTCGTTGATATCTTAAAGTGTTTATTTTGTAAAGCGATATATAATAATCTCTTAATGATATATTTGTTGTTCAGTTATTTCTAGTAAGTTTTTTTTTGCTGTAAGTGAGTTAAATAAAATTAGTTCAACTACATGTACTTCAGTTAATTCCTAAACCCACAGAAATACGTAACAATATAATATTATTAAACAAACTAATATAAGCGGTATACAATTCACATTGTTCGTGAACATGAAAAATACATAAAAAATAAGTGAATAACGCTAGAAAACCTTGAGCAAAATTTCTTCAGTAATTTTACTAATCAACAAAATAAAAAATCATAATATCATCAATTTTGTTTTTGGAGATTCAGCGAATAATTTTGATTCCCAATGTTACCATTATCGCCCAACTCAAGGGACCAAGAAATAATCCAAGTTCCAAAAGAAAGCAAATAAAAATTTTCGCTCTGCACGGGAAACATAAAAGAAGAAAAAAGATCAGTCAAAATTAGGTGAATACATACTAATTTACAATGGAGCAGCAAAAGAAAAGTGGGCCAATGACAATGTAGCCTTATCAATCCACCAAAAGTACCAAAATCAGATCAAAGAGTATCAATTATATATCAATACATATTAAAAAAAATTGTAACAGCAAAGGTAAGAATAAAGAAGGAATACCTAAATATCATCAGAGTACACGGCCTAAAAAATAACAAGCCTCAAACAATAAGGATATTGTTTTATGACGAATTATAACAAGTTGTAGATCAAGTCAGGGGGAAGATAATAATATTGAATAAAATGCAAAATAAAACAAAAAAAAAATTAAAAAGTTTAAAATCGAAAATGAAAAACTGATAATAAACTTCTGCGTGAATAACGAACTTTAAACAATAAATTTTTTGACCACAAAGACCAACACAAATATACATTCAGTAACACTCGTGGACAAAGATTTATGATGGATTATGTTTTAACCAACAGAGATATACATCCATCAAAAATACTTGACGTAAGATCCCTTAACTCAGCAGATGTAGGTAGCGACCATAGTCTAGTACTATGGAAATTAAGAATCATTATAAAATACTCAATACCCAAGAGAGCAGCGCTAACACAAATAAAAATAAGAGTCGAACGACTAAATACGGAATCCACGGAATACTTATAGAAGAACACAGAATATCAAAGTAGATTGCTGGGAAAAAACAACTTCATGGTTTAGAGAGGAAAAGAAGAAAATATATGAAGAAAGGAAGAAAGCCTTTTTACAATACAGAACAAAACGGACATACAATTATTATAATCAAATTAGAAATGAAACGAATACATTTTTTAGACTAATAAAAAGAGAACACTGGCAGAGCTTCTCAAAACAGATGGAACAAGACTTCTACCGAACACAGAAAAAATATGTCGAATCATCAGAGGACAAAGAACAGTGATTAACGAATTAATAAAACCAAAACACATTAAAAAAAACATAAGCAGACTAATTTTGATCCCTATTTGCTACAGGTGAAGATAAGGAACCACCAACACCAGAGGTGACGACAAACTAAGAACTTAATATTAAGGAGAAAGAGGTAAAGGAAGCATTAAGGAAATAAAAAAATTGAAAATCATCAGGAGACGACAGAATACCAAACAAACTCCTAAAGTGAGGAGTATCAGATTAACCAAACAACTATTAAAAGCAATCCAAAAAATAATATAACAAAAAATAGATGTAAAGCATCCTAATACTTCTTTTTTTTTAAGAAAAACACAGAAATTAATGTATTACGAAAATCTGTAAGAAAATTACACAGGAATTAATATATTAAAATAAACACTAAAATCAAACACCCAAACTAATAATAAATAAACTGAATAAAATTGTATTTATTTATTTATTTAGCGTATGGCTACATCACAGGTTCATATAAATATAAATATATAAATATAAATTATATAAATTACAAACAACAGTAAATATAAAAATATTATTCTACAAACAAACATCTAGATTATAAATATATTCGATTGACTCTTTTTGTAGCAGCCAGGAAATCTGAAGGGTTGCCATTATAGGATCTAATCGGGCATTCCTCTACCATGTGTTTTACTGCTTGCCTTTCGGCGCCGCAGTCGCAATTTGGTGATTGTATTTTTCCCCATCTAAAAAGTGAGTCTTAACATCTGCCACAGTTCATCCTTATTCTATTGAGTGTGGTCCAAATTCGTCTCGGTTGGTTGAAGCCCTCAGGTTTGCTTGTTATACATGGCATGTTCCAGTTAGCTGGTGCAGCGTTATTGACCCATTGTTCTCTCCACCGTTCAGTTACATTAAAGTTTTGATCTACTAGCCTTTTTTGCTGTTTTTAGAGGCGGGTGTCAGACAATCTTGAATCTCCTGGCAATTCAATCATCACAGAAAATCTTCCAGAAAAAAATTGAAACACTAGCGGAACAACAACAAGCATTTAGGTCAAGAAGATCATGTACCAATGCTATATTTATATTGTTCTGAAGCTAAGAAGCTTCTGAAATTGAAACATCAATAAACGTACTTTAACCTTTAATTGTGGCTTATTACCAGTTAAAAACTAATTAAGCTATATTTATAATGACAAAAGTGCAAGAGAAATCATTAGAATAAAACAAACCGGCATATCTATGTTTCGTGGACCCGAAGAAACCATTTGATCAAGTCAAATTAAAAGACGTCATTCACTTATTGTACACAAGGAAGATATCTCTAGGAATAATCAAAATAATCGAAAATGTCTACCAAAACAACACAATAAAAGTAAAAGTAGAAGAAAAACTAACTGATCTTATTGAAGCTGGCAATGAGATAAGACATAGAAATTTCCTGAGTCATCAATTGTTCAACCTGATTAGGGATAAAATAATACCAGATTAAAAGCATATCAAAGGGGAGAAAAACAACTTAAAATAATCTGCCATGTAGACGACACAAAACTACTCTCTCAAATTGAAGATAATTTACAAGGTATGCTGCACCAAGTTAGTATAACCGCCAGAAAATTTAAGCTGTTAACAGTAAATTTACTAAGAGATTGGAGATGAAAGGTCAGATAATAAACTTATAACAAGCAAAAAAAAGTGAAGAAAAACAGTGTATAAACATGATAAAGATGGTTTTCTGCAAGATTACCTTTGACTGACTATATTGTGCAATTCTTATCAGATTGGTTAGATCCAATGGCACTACTGTCTCATTATACTATATATTTTGCCAATCTCACTCCTAATTAATGTTGTTTACTTTTGTTATTAGATATCATTTTATTTTGATTTTGATGTTCAATGTTTGATTTATGTTGATTTTAGCTTGTAGTTTTTACTAAACAAAGACTAACATACTAGAGCCTGATGATGAGGGCATATATTGTAAACCTTGAAATCGAAAGCCCAAAATTTACCATTAATAAAAAATAAAAGCTACTTAGGATTCTGAGTATTAACAGTAACAACCTATGCATCATCATGTAAATTAATTTCACTTTAAAACATATTTTTATGTTGCTTCTTATCGGCTAATGTGGAATACATATTTGAAACTATTTTAAATGCATTATTTGCTAAACTATCGGATTGTATGTGTTTTTCATTAAACAGATCGATGATTTTTATTTACCTTAATAATAAAAGGCTGATATGACAAAAATATGTAAAAATATGACAAAATCCTACATAATCTATTAAAGCTTTTTCTTTAAAACCACCATTATTATCATAGTCTGAATAATGTCTCTGTTGAGCTGCAGACTTTTATAAAAAAAGTCCTAGTTCATTATTTGATATTTGATTGTGGTGAAAATTTATATATTGTATTAAAATTGCAAGTAAAAGTAAATCAATATAATGATCAATAAGATAAACATCTATTTCAGAATTGCGAATAGCATTTTCAAAAGCAGTGCTTACCATGAAACAATCTGCATCTTCTTAATAAATAATGTGAATATTAATATGCAAAAAACACTAACTGACATCAAACAAATTATGGATGTAAATAAAGATTGGTATAGTAATAAAAAAAAACATTATTGACCAGCTCAAGAAAGTTTGATACAACATGTTTGACGCTAAAAAACAGTGGATGACAGAAGAAATGTCCTTACAGATGGAAGAAAGAAGGACATATAAAGGAAAAATCTACAGAAGTATAAAGAAATACAACTACTAAATAAGGAAAAAATCAAACCAGCTAAGGAAACCTATTTAATGAAACGATGTAAAGAGATAGAAGAACTAGAAACAAAATATAATATGAGAAATATGCACAAAAAAATAAGAGAAATGACTGGAATGGGTCGAAATAGACAGCAAGGACACATAAAAGACTAAGAAAAAAAGGGTACTACTAATAGATTTACCAGAGAAATTAAGACGATGAGAGGAGTACGTTAGGGAACTTTTCCAAGATGGAAGAGGTGCAAAAAATACAAGAATTAAATCCTTTAGAGAAACAGAAGATCACAATATGTGAAATCAAATATGCTATTAAACACTCTTAAGAAAATTAGGCAGCTGGATTAGATGAAATAACAAAAGAACTGTTAAAACTAATTAAAGAGGATAGCTTGGAAGTATTGGCAAATTTATTCAACACGGTCTACGATACAGGAATAATACTACAAGAGTGGCTGAAGTCAGCATTTCCTTCTTCCATGAAAACTTCTATAATGTTTATTTTAATGAGTAATCGGGGTGAAAAAAAAAAGAGAAAATTTAGTGTGATTTTTAATTTCAAATATCTCATTCAAAAAAAACTTTTTGTTTATTCTAAGGGACTTTCGGCCCTCGGTAATAATGTAATCTTTCATCCTGCGTTTAAATTTTTTAAAAATATTTGTTAGTTTTCTCAGGATTCGAAAAAAATTAATGCATTTAAAAAGCATTGGCCCGAAATTTTGCGCCTACGTCCTTATCACAGTTCAATTCTAAATCTTCTTTACAATATTTAACATCGACCTTTAAACCGTTAAATAATTTAATTTAAAAATATAAGCCGTTCTCTTCAATTTTGAGCTTTCAGAATTCACGTAGACCAACAGTTTAGAAAAAAAGCTCTCTGGGGTAAACAATTGCAATTTTGCAATAATCATTAAGCGGTTCTTGACATTATTATACCTAAATGTTTGACGCTAAAAAACAGTGGATGACAGAAGAAATGTCCTTACAGATGGAAGAAAGAAGGACATATAAAGGAAAAATCTACAGAAGTATAAAGAAATACAACTACTAAATAAGGAAAAAATCAAACCAGCTAAGGAAACCTATTTAATGAAACGATGTAAAGAGATAGAAGAACTAGAAACAAAATATAATATGAGAAATATGCACAAAAAAAATAAGAGAAATGACTGGAATGGGTCGAAATAGACAGCAAGGACACATAAAAGACTAAGAAAAAAAGGGTACTACTAATAGATTTACCAGAGAAATTAAGACGATGAGAGGAGTACGTTAGGGAACTTTTCCAAGATGGAAGAGGTGCAAAAAATACAAGAATTAAATCCTTTAGAGAAAACAGAAGATCACAATATGTGAAATCAAATATGCTATTAAACACTCTTAAGAAAATTAGGCAGCTGGATTAGATGAAATAACAAAAGAACTGTTAAAACTAATTAAAGAGGATAGCTTGGAAGTATTGGCAAATTTATTCAACACGGTCTACGATACAGGAATAATACTACAAGAGTGGCTGAAGTCAGCATTTCCTTCTTCCATGAAAACTTCTATAATGTTTATTTTAATGAGTAATCGGGGTGAAAAAAAAAGAGAAAATTTAGTGTGATTTTTAATTTCAAATATCTCATTCAAAAAAACTTTTTGTTTATTCTAAGGGACTTTCGGCCCTCGGTAATAATGTAATCTTTCATCCTGCGTTTAAATTTTTAAAAATATTTGTTAGTTTTCTCAGGATTCGAAAAAAATTAATGCATTTAAAAAGCATTGGCCCGAAATTTTGCGCCTACGCTCTTATCACAGTTCTCTTCTATATCTTCTTTACAATATTTAACATCGACCTTTTAATCGTTAAATAATTTAATTTAAAAATATAAGCCGTTCTCTTCAATTTTGAGCTTTCAGAATTCACGTAGACCAACAGTTTAGAAAAAAGCTCTCTGGGATAAACAATTGCAATTTTGCAATAATCATTAAGCGGTTCTTGACATTATTATACCTAAATATTTGTAATATTACCCCAATTCTCACGCAAAATTAAAGTTTTTTGTACGTTTTTGGAAAATTTATTTATAATTTTCAAAATGTCGGCTTTTAAAGATTTGTTTGCAATAATTTAGCAACAAATTAACAAAAATAACTTCTCATTTTAAGGATTATAAACAGTTTAGAGATTTTAAGCAGTTTAGAGATTTTGAGCAGTGATTTTTAAGAGCAATTGATATGAAAGAGTATCACAAAAAAGACTTTTTTGCTAATTTCTCTAATCTATATTGCGGTATATAAATATCCGAAATAAGAAACCAAGTTATAACAAATATTAAAACATAATCTAGTCACAATTTGAACATTAAAAGAAATTATAGCAATTTTTTTTCTAAATATTCATTTTTTCTCATACATATCGCCTTACTATATGACAATATAAACCGAGAATTCCTAACAAAAGCAATGAAAGAATTTAATATACCAACACAGCTAATAGAATTGATAAAAGAAACACTAAAAGTAGAAAGTAAAATCCGGATACAAAACGAATTAACGGAAACAATAGATGTGAAGAAGGGACTACGCCAGGGAGACGCTCTTATCATGCATATTATTCAACATCATACTTGAAAAAATAATAAGAGACACAACAGTTAATACCCGAGGAACAATAATTAATAAAAGCGTGCAAGTATCTAGCATTTGCAGATGATGTTGACATATTCGCAAGATCAAGAAGAGAAATAATAGAGGCATTCACTCAAATAGAACGAGCTGCAAAAAATAGTGGTCTCAAAATCAATCAGACAAAAACAAAATATATGCCTGCAAATAAAAACGCACAAATAAGGCAGTCGCCAAATTTAACAATAGGAGAATACAACATTATATTCTCCTGGAAGAGGAGAATATTTATTGCCAATAAATGTTACCATGGCTTAATTAGGCAACTAAGATCAGATAACGTCTCCAGAAAAACAAAATGCCAAATATACAAAACCTTAATAAGACCGGTACTCACATACGGTTCAGAAACCTGGACACTCTCTAAAAGGGAGGAAACGTTATTAGCCACCTTTGAAAGAAAAATCTTGCGACACATATATAAGGGCACAAAAGAAAACGGGATATGGCGGAGAATGTATAACTTTGAACTATACAACATATACCAGGATCCGGATATCATAACATTCATTAAAATAGGAAGATTACGTTGGATTGGACATGTGGAAAGAATGGAAGAAGGCTAAATACCAAACAAAATATTCAAACAAGTGCCAGTAGGAAAAAGAACAAGAGGCAGACCGAAGCTGAGATACGTACAACAAATAGAAAATGATATAACAACATTAAAAATTAAAAACTGGAAAAAAAAGCACGAAACAGGTCAGAATGGAGAAGAATCCTTGAACAGGCCAAGACCCAAAAAGGGTTGTCGAGCCAGTGATGATAATGATGATCGCCTTACTATAACAAACGGAAGAAAAATAAGAAATTTTAGATTTTTTTTTATAAAGTATCCAACATCAAATTATAAAATAATTTTTTATTTAAGTTGAAAATAGGTATTTTATTTCAAAACACAATCAAAATTTCTTAGTTTGTTTGCTGTCTGTATACTACCAGATAATAAAAATTATATATACTTACGAGGTATTTGTTTCATTATCTAACAAATTACGTATCTGTGATTTATCTTCTGTCGGCATGTTTAATAACAGAAATAAAAAGCTTCCGTTTAGGAACCAAACTACAAGACCAACACTTCGAACTAAAAATAAAAACCGGTAACTCAGCTCTTTCTAATAAAATGATAAAGAAAAATAGGAGTTGTTTTAATTTTGACCTGATAGTGCGACCTTATGTGGTAATTGAAGAGTTGGGTTAAAGGAACCTCGAATAAGATCCATTATCAGATTAGTACAGTCTCTGATGTATGGCTCTGCGTCATTTTAAACATTGTGTTTTATTGGTCGAATTGGTTTTGATATATACATATATATATATATATATATATATATATATATATATATATATATATATATATATATATATATATATGTATATATATATATATATAATATATATATATATATATATATATATATATATGTATATATATTAAATATATATATATATATATATATATATATATATATACAGGGTGGGCCGCCGGTAACGCCTCGGTCTGTACAGCCGAAACAAATTTTATTTTCAAAAATTCATTTTCATTACGAGACCTATATCCAAAAAGCTACTTTTTAAAAAGAATTTCAATGATACAGGGTGCTCCAGAAAAGTGCTACACACCAAAGTTATGTTTTTTTTTAAATGGGACACCCTAGTATTTTATTGCATTTTTGAATTTTAAGAACAAAATAAGTGTCACTTTGTTAAAGGTTTGTTATACCTAGAGTCTACCGTTTTTGATATTATATTATATATTTTGATATATCCATGGTATTGATAGTTTTCCAAGTTTTCCAAGTTTTGATATTTTGTTAAATTATTTTGTGCACAAAATACATTATACATCTGTGAACACTTGTTTCTGTAAAGTACATACATTAAAACTTGATGATTTTGATGACTTACTAATATTCTTAAACGATCAACTTACAGCCAGATATAATTTTATTATTGTTAAGCTTGATGATGGCATAGTCCGAACTAGCAGCCTACACTTTTTGTTAAGCACCATTAAATTTATGTGGATTGATTTTTGTTTTTTTTTTAATTATAATTTATTTTTTATGAAAATTTGTGAAAATTTAGTTTTAAATAACAATTTTGGTTTTATATCTAAAACTGTCGAATATGGGTATAGGGAATATTTATATTTTTTGAAAGGTATTTGAAATATCTTTCATAAAATTAAAAAATATACTGGATGTCACATTTAAAATAGAGCAGTTTTTAACGTTTAAATGTGCCACTAATAAATATCTAATTCGCAAACACCCTGTAAAATATTTTTGAATAGTAAGTATTTGATTTTAGAGTACAGTTAATTCTTAATCTTCCATAAAAAAATTAATTTTAAATATTAGGAAATTTAGGAATTAATTAATATTTATAACTGGGAATAAGCCACAATTAAAGATAAAAATACGTTTATTGACGTTTCAATTTCCAATTCGGAAATCGTTCTCAAAATACAAATAGTAAATTAAACAAATTTTGTTTTTTTGTTACATAGTGAAAAAAATTCTTCTAATAATTTAATTTTATCTGACTCATTTATATTGACAATTCAGACATACATTATGCATTTTAAAGTAGACGACTTTAAAATGATATTGCCAATATTGTTGAGTTGCGCTCCTGGGACGACTTTACTTATAAGATAGTTCATTCGATTACATGAAATCAACTTTAACTTGAGAATATCCGTCAGAAAAAATCATAGCATGTAATTCGTCTTTAAAAAGACAAACACATGACATGATGACAGTAAAATTCTCCTGTTAGTGATTCCATAGTAAATTATGAGGGAAAAACCAGGAAAAAACCTCATAATACTATCCCGACATTGTAAGTATTTGTTCGTAAATTTAGTTTACCTTCAACAAACATCAAAATTCTGATTTTATATGTTACGTTATTTAAAAAACATAAATGATGTATCCTCTATATGTTACTGATTTACTAATACTGGTATTTTCTTATTAACAACTTCCTCTTTCAATATTGGTAACCAGATCCTACTACATTCTGCCGAGGAATTTGCGACACAATTGGCCTCATTTGGCATAATTAGAGCCGCTTCTTTGATTTTTTCTTTTTTTACCATCCATTTCTTTTAGGACTATATTTGAATTATTCCATTGAACCCTATGTTCATTATCCCATGCGTGTTTACATATTTGAGATCTATGAAATTCTCTATTTTTAATATAAGATTGATATGTTCACTTATTCTAACATTTAATGGCCTTGATGATTCACCTAAATAAAACTGATCGCATTCACAAGGTATTTTATAAATGCAATTCTTTGTCCTTTCTTGTTCATTGTTAGGTTTGGTTTTGGACAAAATAGATCTCAACGTGTTTGTTGTTTTGAATGTTGTTGAAATGTTGAATTTATTTCCTATCCTTTTAAGTTTTTCCGATAATCCTTTTATGTACGGTATTGTTATTTTCCTCATATTATTCCTTGTGTATGCTGTAGGATCTCGTTCTAAGTTGTTCTGTTCTATTCGGTCGATTGTTGAAAATTCCTTATTTATAAACGATAAAGGATAATCATTTTTTAATAAAACAGATGTTAACAAATGTTTCTCCTCTAAGAACGAATTTTCGTTAGAACAAGTAATTTTGGCTCTATCGTATAAGGATTTAATTATTCCCTTTTTTACATTAATATTGTGATTTGATTTGAAATTTAAATATCTATTGGTATGTGTTAAATAAGACTTTAAGTATAGTCAAGACAAAATTAGAGAGTGATGATTCATTGTCAACTAGAACAAGACTAAACATATCGGCTATAATGGAGTTATTAACATTATGTACTGATAATACATATTTTTAACTAAATAATAAATATTCTATAAAAAAATTTTGGTCTAGCAATGGGCTCTAGTTTATCTCCATTCTTAGCCGATATATTTATAAAAGATTTTGAAACAAATATCATTTCTAAACAAAATTTTAAACCCACAGTATGGTGGAGGTATGTAGATGATGTATTCTCAATATGGCCTCATGGATCAGAGTTGTTGGACACATTCCTAAACGATATAAACGATAAAGAAGAGACAATAACATTTACCATGGAAAAGGAATATAATAACACGCTACCTTTCCTGGATGTTTTGATCTCTAAGAACGATACTGGATATGAGACTCAGGTGTATAGAAAACCAACACACACCAATAGATATTTAAATTTCAAATCAAATCACAATATTAATGTAAAAAAGGGAATAATTAAATCCTTATACGATAGAGCCAAAATTACTTGTTCTAACGAAAATTCGTTCTTGGAGGAGAAACATTTGTTAACATCTGTTTTATTAAAAAATGATTATCCTTTATCGTTTATAAATAAGGAATTTTCAACAATCGATCGAATAGAACAGAACAACTTAGAACGAGATCCTACAGCATACACAAGGAATAATATGAGGAAAATAACAATACCGTACATAAAAGGATTATCAGAAAAACTTAAAAGGATAGGAAATAAATTCAACATTTCAACAACATTCAAAACAACAAACACGTTAAGATCTATTTTGTCCAAAACCAAACCTAACAATGAACAAGAAAGGACAAAGAATTGCATTTATAAAATACCTTGTGAATGCGATCAGTTTTATTTAGGTGAATCATCAAGGCCATTAAATGTTAGAATAAGTGAACATCAATCTTATATTAAAAATAGAGAATTTGATAGATCTCAAATATGTAAACACGCATGGGATAATGAACATAGGGTTCAATGGAATAATTCAAATATAGTCCTAAAAGAAACGGATGGTAAAAAAAGAAAAATCAAAGAAGCGGCTCTAATTATGCTAAATGAGGCCAATTGTGTCGCAAATTCCTCGGCAGAATGTAGTAGGATCTGGTTACCAATATTGAAAGAGGAAGTTATTAATAAGAAAATACCAGTATTAGTAAGTCAGTAACATATAGAGGATACATCATTTATGTTTTTTAAATAACGTAACATATAAAATCAGAATTTTGATGTTTGTTGAAGGTAAACTAAATTCACGAACAAATACTTACAATGTCGGGATAGTATTATGAGGTTTTTTTTCCTGGTTTTTCCCTCATAATTTACTATGGAATCACTAACAGGAGAATTTTACTGTCATCATGTCATGTGTTTGTCTTTTTAAAGACGAATTACATGCTATGATTTTTTCTGACGGATATTCTCAAGTTAAAGTTGATTTCATGTAATCGAATGAACTATCTTATAAGTAAAGTCGTCCCAGGAGCGCAACTCAACAATATTGGCAATATCATTTTAAAGTCGTCTACTTTAAAATGCATAATGTATGTCTGAATTGTCAATATAAATGAGTCAGATAAAATTAAATTATTAGAAGAATTTTTTCACTATGTAACAAAAAACAAAATTTGTTTAATTTACTGTTTGTATTTTGAGAACGATTTCCGAATTGGAAATTGAAACGTCAATAAACGTATTTTTATCTTTAATTGTGGCTTATTCCCAGTTATAAATAGTAATTAATTTACAATGCCACAAGAAAATAGCTTCAGAACGAAATTTAGGAAGTATTGGCATATTTTGAACATCCCTTATTTTTAAAAATACTTGGATATATCAAAAACGGTTAGACTCTAAGTATAACAAACCTTTAATAAAGTGACATTTATTTTGTTCTTAGAATTTAAAAATGCAATAAAATACAGGGTGTTCTATTTAAAAAAAACATAACTTTGATGTGTAGCACTTTCCTGGAGCACCCTGTATTAATTGAAATTATTTTAAAAAGTAGCCTATTTGGATTTAGGCGTCGTAGCGTAAACCGATTTTTGAAAATAATACTTGTTTCGGCTGTACAGACCGAGGCGTTACCGGCGGCCCACCCTGTATATATATATATATATATATATATATATATATATATATATATATATTATATATATATACATATATATATATATATATATATATATATATATATTAATATATTATATATATATTATATATATATATATTATAT